TATTGTTTTCCACCCAAGCTAGTAGTTCTAGTTGGCCCAAAAAGATCTAAATGGATCAATTGTAAAACTCTACTAGTTGATACATCATTAATGGATTTAAAAGAAACTCGCTTTTGTTTTCCTTTAGCACAAGCATCACAGATTTTATCATTATCAAATTTAAGCTTAGGCAACCCTCTTACTAGGTCTCCTTGAATTAACCGTTGCAAAACACTCATACTAGCATGTCCTAGTCTCCTATTCCATAACCAACTATCATGTTCATCCTTAGCAACTAGGCATAAATTAGTCATATCAAAAGAATCTAAATGCACCATGTATATGTTTCCTATTCTATGACCAACAAGCATAATCCGATTAGATGCAATGTCAATGACTTTACAACCATTAATTTCAAATAAGACATTGAATCCTTTATCGCATAATTGACTAATACTCAATAGATTATGCATTAATCCATTCACATATAAAACATTTTTAATTTGTATGGAAGAGGTATTACCTATTGTACCAATACCTTCACTGTGAACTTTTGAATTGTCTCCAAAAGTCACTTCTCCTCCATTTTTGGCGTTAAGCTCAATGAACCGACTTTTGTCTCTGGTCATGTGTCTTGAGCATCCACTATCAAGGTACCATGAATTTGAATTTGTTTCCCGTGCCTTGTAGCAATGCTCCTTTCCCTACAAACATAGATTAATTTTTTTATTTTTGGTACCCAAATTCTTTTGGGTCCATATTCATTAGTTTCCAAAATCCTAGTCCCCCTTAGGTATCCATTTGTGTAGGATATTTTTATCTTTAGTAGTAATGAGTTCTTTAGGAACCCACATACTTCTAACAATTTTCCATTAGAGGTTCTTTGGGGACCTCTATGATTGTAGTTTCTAAAACTTTTTCTAACAAAGTTGGATTTTGAATTTCCACCTTTTTCAAAATGTTTTGTTCCAACTTTATCAAAAGAAGTTTTAAGATCATCAATTTTCTTTTGATGATCATCATTGATCTTTGAAAGTAAATTTTGCAAATCTAAAATTTTCTTTTCAAACTCTTCTAGTTTGATTTGCAAATCTTTGATTTTACTTTCAAGATCGTTGTTGGTTTTGGATATGAGTTTGTTTTCATTTTTCAATTTTGAAACATCATTTTTATATTTTAAAAATAATTTCTCATAATCTGAAGCCAACCCATTATATTCCTCTAATAACTCATCATAGGATAAATCATCAAAATCGGATGAGTTAGAGGTTACCTTAGAATCTCCCCCAAATGCCATCAAGCACAAGTTAGTTACTTCTTGTTCCTCTTCATCGAAACTTTCTTCATCGCTCCATGTAGCCACATGAGCCCTGTGCTTATTCTTTGATTGACCATTTTTCTTCAATTGTTCCTCTTCATTTCGTTTGAATTTTCTTCCTCGATAAGGTCTCATCATTTTTCTGAACCGTTTGGCAAACAATGCCATTTCCTCGTTATCGTCATCGTCATTCGAATCACTCTCATATTTTGTGGATTTGAGAGCAACTCCAATGTTTTTCTTCTTCTCCTTCTCCTTTGGTGTCTCGTCAATCTTGTCGAGGTCCACCTCATCTTCGAGCATCATTTCATGAGTGAGGAGTGACCCAATTAGCTCTTCAAGAGTTAAGGATGTTAAGTCCTTAGACTCGATGATTGCCGTCTTCTTTGATTGCCACGATTTTGGGAGGGAGTAGACTAACTTCCTCACAAGCTTTTCATTTGAAATGATCTCTCCATATGATTTGAGACCATTGACAATCGTTGAAAATATATCCGTCATAGCTTTGATATCTTCATTTGGTTTCATCCTGAAATTTTCATAGCTATGCGTTAGAATACTAATTTTAGATTTCTTTACCTCATCGGTACTTTCATGAGTGACTTGAAGTTTGTCCCATATTTCTTTGGCGGTTGTACACGATGAAACTCTTCTGTATTCATCTGGTCCAAGAGCACAAAAAATGATATGGATGGCTTTGGAGTTGAGCTGGAACATTCTTGTCTCTCCTTCACTCCACAACCTTGGATGAGTGAGAGGTTTGATGTATCCTTCTTCTACAGCATTCCATGCTCCCATGTCACTTGCTTGAATGAAGTACATCAGTCTATTCTTCCAATAGGCATAGTTAGCTCCATTGAAGAAATGAGGCTTGTTGACGGGCATCGAATCGAGACCGGAGTCGAAGTTTGAAGCGGAGGCCATTGATGACTTTGATTATCGATATAAATCTTCCCGAATCGACTCAAGAGGTGATTAAACCTTCAAATGAGTTAGGCTCTGATGCCAATTGTTGAGTTAATCGATTGACTGAATCGGCCAAGAGGGGGGAATTGGCAATAAAAAATTTTGTGGAAGCTTTTGCAGAAAAATTGAAAGAAATTGCACAGCGATTTAGAGTGGTTCGACTTTATCAACCAAAGTCTACGTCCACTACCTTAGCTATCCACACTAAGGATTTTCCAACAAATTCACTAATTTGTTCTTTCTTTTGAGGCCAAAGAGATAACCTTACAACTCCCTCAAGAATATACCCCAATTCTTGAGAACACTCTTTTCTCAAAGAGAAATACAAATTTGCAAACTTACAAGAAAAACCTCACAAGGCAAATATGTTTGCACAATTCTAGAACAAAGAAAGAACACTCAAGAATAAATACAATTGAGCACAATAAGTGTTCTTGAAAGAAAAATGAATATTGAATGAAAAATAGGCTTGAAATGCTCAAACTTGAGGTTTGATGCTTTCTCTTTGATTCTCTCTTGATTCTAATTGCTTGATGTTTCTTGTTATTGATCAATGGCTTCTAAGCTTGCTTAAATACACCTTGAATCACTTCTGAACGTTGGGGGTGATTAGAGAAAATAATATAGCCGTTTTAGTGTGAAAACAATTAATAAAATAGTTTGGAGCGTGGGGGGAATCAGTACCCCCTATGGGGAATCGGTTCCCTAAGTGTAAAATTCAAATATTTCGACCGTTATACAAGGGGGGAATCGGTACCCCCTGGGGGGCAATTGGTTCCCTCCGAGCATACTGGAATTCTCGGAGCCAAACCATTCAGGGGGAAATCGGTTCCCTTTGAGCAATCTGGAATTTTTGGCTTTGAAATGGTTCGAAATACTTTGTAAAATTATTTTGAAATTGTTTTAAGATTAAAACTTAATTTTACACTTTGAGTAAGGATTAAAAATGATCTTTGAAAGATTTGGAGTAATGTTTTGATATTCGAATAATTCTATCGAATATACTTAGAAAATCATTTGGAAAATCTTAAAATTCAATTAACTTAATTTGTTATATCGAAATATCAAAATGTTTTCAACAGAATCGATTCCCTATAAGGGGGTATCGATTCCCCCCACGCTCCAAGCTGTTTTATTAATTGATTTCACACCTAAACGGCTCCATTGACTCCACTAATCATCCCCAACGTTCAGAATCAATTGAAGGAGTATTTAAACAAGCTTAGAAGTCATTGATCAAGCACAAGAAACAACAGTTATCAAGAATTGAAAGAGAATCAAAGAGAAAGCATCAAACTCATTGTTTGAGCACTTCAAGCCTATTTTTCATTCAATATTCATTGTGCTTTCAAGAACACCATTTGTGCTCTATTGTATTTATCCTTGAGTGTTCTTTCTTTGTTCTAGAATTGTGCAAACAATCTACCTTGTGAGGTTTTCCTTGTAAGTTTGCAAATTTGTGTATTTCTCTTCGAAAAAGAGTGTGCTCAAGAATTTGGGGTATAATTCTTGAGTGAGTTGTAAGGTTACTCTTTGTCCTCAAAAGAAAGAACAAATTAGTGAATTTGTTGGAAAATCCTTAGTGTGGATAGCTAAGGTAGTGGGCGTAGAATTTAGTTGAGAAAGTCGAACCACTCTAAATCGTTGTGTAAATATTTTCAATTTTTTGCAAAAACTTCCATCAAAATTTTTATTGTCAATTCACCTCCTCTTGGCCAATTCCATCAATCAATTAACTCAACAAATTACCTTCCGGTCTATTACGAAAGCATATTTTCCACACAATGGAATCGATTTTCCCACCAAGAAACCAACTGGGAGGTTTTGTAATGGTAAGAACACAACATATTTTCTTGGTAAGTAATCATCACAACTCATAAATGTTTTTTTTCTCTCTCGATATTTTATTTGAATTTCAGTGCAAAGCAGTGGGAAATAATAATTTTATTTATATATTAAAAATATTTTTAAATTAATTTAGGATAGGTGCAAGTAATATATATTCAAAAATAAATCTTTTGACATTGAATGCTCATATTCCTATGCTCCAATACAAAACCTCGAGAAATAACAACAATGACTTCGCCACCGAGTTTGCTAATAAGATATGAAAGTAAGATTTTAATATATGAATTACCAAATTTAACAAAGCTTTGGTGATTAATTATTTTCAAACATAAAATGTATAATTATTTCAAAATATTCATAGTATGTGTGCTTTAATAACATCGAAAAGCAAAAAGGTTAGAATGACTTTAAAGTTCTAAGAGTATTGATGCTCAACTCATGTGGATTGAACGTATAAAAATGTAACATTAACTGGACAGCTGAAAAATTAGGGTTACCAAGTTCACCACCCTATCTTTCCTTGTCAAAGAAGAAAGATGCACCATCGTATATAAACGGTGTTAGCTTTGGCTCCGGCGGTGCTGGAATCTTCAACGGCACAGATCAAACTTTAGTAAGTCACAAAGATCCGATAAAATGCCATATCTTAAACATTACTGCATGAACTATTTGCTTTTCAAACCGAGCTATTAGGGTTTGTTGTTTCATGTGCTTTTCCAAATTTCTATTCAGCGTCAATCCATACCACTGTCAAAACAAGTGGATAACTACATCTCAGTGCAGAAAACTATGGTACAGCAAATGGGATCACTTGCCCCAGAAAATCACCATTCGAAGTCTTTTTTCGTCGTCATTATCGGCAGCAACGACATCTTCCTACTTCGGATCACCTAATCTTCAAAAGAAGAACACCCCACAACAATTTGTTGACTTGATGGCTAACACCCTAAAAGGACAACTCAAGGTAAACTAATTAAGTGATTTCCAATTTGCATTGTTAAATGATATAGCAAATAGTGAAAGTACTTGATCCTAAAATTTCCACCTTTTTTTTCAACAGAGACTGTACGAATATGGTGCTCGTAAACTCGTTTTCACCGGAATCGGAGCCATAGGGTGTGTTCCGGCAGAAACGGTTAAAAACGAAACCCATGAATTCAGTGAAGAACACAATTTTTGGTCTGTCAAATACAATGAAGCGATGAAAGCAATGTTGAAGGGATTAAAATCAGAAATCCAAGGCATAAATTACTCTTATTTTGATACTTACAGTGTCATGCAGAATGTGATACAAAAACCATCTTCTTACTGTACGCATACATACATACATACATACATACATACATACATACATACATACATACATACATACATACATACATACATACATACATACATACATACATACATACATACATACATACATACATACATACATACATACATACATACATACATACATACATACATACATACATACATACATACATACATACATACATACATACATACATACATACATACATACATACATACATACATACATACATACATACATACATACATACATACATACATACATACATACATACATACATACATACATACATACATACATACATACATACATACATACATACATACATACATACATACATACATACATACATACATACATACATGCATACATACATACATACATGCATGCATTCATACATACATACATGCATGCATGAATGCTAAAATACGAGAGTATTGAACTTGTGTTTGCAGGGTTCAATGAGATACAAAGAGCGTGTTGTGGACTTGAGGATTTGAAAGCTAAAGTTCCTTGTGTGCCCGTTTCCAAGTATTGCTACAACAGAGCGATCATGTTTTCTGGGATTTGTATCATCCGATTGAGGCGACGGTTAGGGTTTTCGTGGATAATATTTTTGATGGTCCTTCACAGTATTGTTTCCCAATGAATGTTTGGCAATTAGTTTCTGTTTGAAACTTATAATGAATGATTAATAGCTCACAGAGTTACAGTACTCGGAGAATGAGATTATGCTAGCATAATACGAATATATACATGAATATCTTGCTTTAATAATAATAATTTTATAAAATTTTGAATATTTCAAGTTTATTTTCAAGTATTCATATATTTCTCTTATCAATAATGTTTTCTTAAAATATTAAAGAGTAATAAATGTAAACGATGTTTGATTTCTAAATGAAATGTAAATATTGATTGAACTGAGTTGTGGTATATAAATTTAATTTGTATCTAAAATATCTTTTGATTTTTAAATTAAATAAAATAAATTTTTATTTATTTTATTTAATGATATTATAATAAAATTTAAGGAACATTTCCATAATAAAACACTTATTGCACGAAACTGGAATAAGTCGATGGGATCCATGAACCAACGTTGGCTTGGTCTTTAAATAGGCCTTTTCAAACTCTATTGTAACTTTAAGTTAAATTTCAACTTTTAACTTTTAACTATGTTTTCTCTTTTTTTTTACTATTTATTCGATAAAAATTATTATTATAGTAATATTTTAAAAATAAATTTATAAATATTTAGTTGTGTTATCTTTGATTCATAAATTGTAAAACAATATGAGTAATTTTAAATAATATATATAAAAACTCTAATATTTATTATTTAAGGAAATATGAAACTCATTTGTTTATTTTTGTTCATATTAATCTCATTTATTTTTTAAAAAAATTATAAATTTCTTGAACGTAGCAAAATATAAAAATAATTTGTGAATTAGTATTTTATTTATAAAAAAATAAAAGAAAAGAGATCGAGTTTGACACATTATATCATGTAAACCTAAAAGTGTCGGGTGTTACATGACATCCAATACGTGTTGACCATTTAAAACACCACAAATCTTTATGATTACATTGAAGATTTTATTTATAAATTCAAGTGGGCGACGTTTCTGATTTACCATTTGTTGGTTGAAGGATATTAACAATGTCAAATTCTTTTATTAGTCCATATAATATATATAAATTATAAATTTGGTTCTTATATTTTTAATCATTATATTTTAAAAAATTAAAACTCGATCCTAATTTACATAGTAGACATAAAGAAATGTTGCTTTTATTTTTTGTAATATGCTTAAGTTTTATGTTTAGAATGTTTTTAATTTGAATATTGTAAGTTTATGTAATCTAATTATATTATTTATAAACCTATTGAGTGGTAAAAAAGAGTATTGTTCTTTATAGAAAATTCAGATTCGAACATCTACATTTATAGGGGTGTGCATGTTGTCAATAACTAAAAAGATTTTGAATAAATATCATATTGTAGTCATCCCACACTATTAAAAAATTATATTATCTCTAATGTTATTTGGATTAAAACTAAAATTTTAAAAAATTTAAGATAAAAAATGACTAAAATATAATATAGGATTAAATCCAACATTTATGCATAATATAAGAACCAAAAGTAACATTTTACCAATTAACTATATGCTTTTGGAACGACTAATGATCGACTCAAATCACCACCATTAGCTCCTTCATTTGTTTTTTTTGTCCAAAATTTCCGTTATTTTAATATATTTGGTGATTAATATTACTTAAGTCTAGATAAAAATATTTTTATTGTTATTTTTTATATACTGGTCAAAGGTTTCATTTATTTATTTTCTATTTTCTTTAAACAAAAAAAAATCACCTAACTTCAGGTGCAGAAAACAAAATAAAATTTTTAAATATAGTATTTGTTAAATAGTTTTCATTTTTAAAAGAATTAAATACATTTGCCACTCGGCTTTCTTCTTCAGCCAAAGGAATTCCCTTCTCTATCTGAATATATATATATATATATAAAGGAATCCACCGTTTTGATCCATTTCCATTATAACAAATTATCTCCATATTTCGCTCTTCTTCCTCTTACCGCTCCTAATCGTAAAGTGCGCACCGACGGCTCACGAAATGGAAGCTCCGTCGTTTGTCTCCAGAGCAAGAATCGCTCTCCACTCCGCAGCTTCCAAAGCGGAGAGAGTTCTCACTGATTTGAAATCCGATCTAGGTAAATTTGAACTCTATATTTTTTGTTGTAAATATCTATTGCAAAATTTTATTGTTATTATTTTTTCGCTTTGCTATTTTTAGATTCCTTTTATCATTTTCCGGTCTTTATGATATTGTTATTAGATATTAGTGACGGAGTTTTTTTTTATCTTGTTTGGTTGCTGTTCGTTTGGTGAAGATTGTGAATTATCATATCCGAATGAATTTAAAAATGAATCTCCGATGAGAGAAGACGATTCTAAGGTAAATTTTTGTTGAACTTTGGAAATGAAATGTGGCTTTCTTTTTAAGCTAAAATGTAGGATTAGACTGTTTTCGTTATTGTTATTTCTATCTTTAGACGATTCTTGGAACCGTTTTTGGCTGCTGAGAAAATGAAGTAAAGTTTAGAGGTATGTTTGACTTATTTGAGTAAAAAAGTCGTAGAGTTTAGCTTAGTTTGCTTGGAATTGAATTGGAGGATTTGCAATTTGTATGCTATTTAGTTTCCCTGCACTTTTCCAGCTATCAAACTAGGCTTCAACATTCTGCCGAGTACTTAGTATGGTGAATTTTGTTGAGTTTTATTTGCACTTTTTGTTTTCCCTGATAGTTCATGTAGAATAATAAATTCTTCTTCAACACATATTTACTTGTTTTAGCATTAACATCTGTGCGGCGTGAAGCAGAGTATTCATGAGGTAAAACATTCAAAGTGGATGCCTGCAAATTTGGGAACCAAGCAAGAATGGCAGGAAAGATTCAAGAATATACGGTTAGGGAGAAAAGGAGTTGAAGATTCAGAGAAAGTTGAAAATTCAACAACGTCTGTTGCATTCTATGATGAAAACTTATACTTTCTCAAAGTAAAGAACGATACGGAATCAAAGGTACATTTATGATTCTATTTATTTTTGCTTACCTGCAAGTGAGAGTTGCTGTAATGAGAATTAAAATGTCTATTTTCTGTTCTAATAAAATTCAAATGAAGGGATTACTTAATGAGATTGTTGTCCTACAGGCTTTAGAAGCAATTCCCTCTGTAGACATTTTAAATACCATGGACACCAATAACTTTCCTCCAACTTCTGTTATCAAGCAATTAGCTTTAGCCGTTGAGTAAGTCTTTCGATTCTTGACTTCGGTTGTTTGTTTTCTGCTATTGCTGACATTGAAATTCATTCGATGCCTCATGAAATATGCTGATTTGTAAATTGCTACCTTTATTGGAATTTACTTTCTGGACCATTAACACTGCTTTGCCATACTATTTAATCTTTTGATACAAAGTATTTCTTGCTTCTGAGATCATTTTAATGGTCAAACGTGTGATCTATTTAATTGTCATATTCAGCTTGTGTATGGTGTTCTTATCTTTTTGTGCTTGCCTTTTGGTTCCAGGGCTGGAAGTAATTTTAAATCTATGAAAGATCTTTTGGCATCATCTGGATATTCTTCACCCGTGAAAGAAAGGACAGGCCTGACCTTCTCTGCAGTGAAGTCATTAGTTCTTCGAGACAAAGAGGATAAACTTGCGTCTGGCTTTGGTGATGATGCAAGAGTGCTTGCTTTGATTCATTATCTGTTTGATACAGGCAGGTTCTGTATGCGACTGATAGGACATTTGCTTTTGTTTGGAGATATGTTTCTCTTTAATCTTCACCTTTTTTATGATGGCCTTTCAATTTTTTTGTAACATCCGCAAGATATTTGCAGATGGGGACATCCTCCAAAGGGATCTTGTTTCTGATTCAAACACATCTACAACAATGATATCTTTACCAAAAGACATTCATGGTGCTCCTCCACATAGCTTCATTGTTAAGCTTTCTGAAGTCATTGGAAGCTTTAGTACCCTTCATAAAAGGGCCCTCTTTTGGTGCAGGGTTGTTACTGAAGTAAGTCGGTTATGCAGTATCTGTACTAAAATGAATGGTCAACACATATATAGAAAAGAAACTAAAATCCTTCATCTAATAAAAAGTGTTTGGAATCCTTTTATCATGCAGTTAAGAAGATTTTGGTTTGAAGGTAGACGTCTGCCAGGCATTCCTTTGGATGAGACTCCTGATCTAAATTCATGTCTTTTATTTCAACAATTACAAGTTATTAATTGTTGTATATCAAGAAAAAGACGGCATAGTATTGCCAATGAATCATTTGATTCTGAAATGGAGGAAACTAGTTCAAATGTTGAAGAATCAGATGTTGCTATAGTCAAAGTGGCTGCCACCTCTGCATTATATGCACGAATTAGTACCGGAGAATGTGTCCTTTGACAGGGAGCTAATCAACTGGCTGAAAATATGACCATGTTAGAAACTGGTGAACCTATATACTCACCTATTACTCAGGTTTGGTTGCTGGTTCCGCTAACAGATTGCTTACTGTTTGAACCTATTCCTGTGGTTCACTGTGTCATATATGACTGTAGGAAGGACCATTGCTTACAGAGGACCTTATCAAGGAAACAGAGGAGTTGGTGCTTCGTACAGGGAGGTCAGCATATTGATCAAACACCTTTTTTGTACGTTTTATATAGATTTCAAACTATAGAATTATTACTATCTTCTTCTAGTGGTCATTGTTTTAATCAGTTTACTGCGTAAGATTTGTTTATGAATCATAATATTATTCAGGTTATCCTGTTTTATTTAAAACTGACGTTATCTTTCAGGGTCAACCTATCTAATGCTGTTATGCATGTTGAGTCTGTTTTATTATTTTAAAATCTTTTCCATATTCTGATGTACACATCAAAGTTTTTGAGTGAAAATTGCACAATTTCTCTCCTGTCATATTTCTTTGTTGGCTATTTACATCATTCTTGTTATTTTCTTACTCATTACCTTATTTATCTTTTGATGGTCAGTGTTGGTGCTGGGTGTTCTCAACTCCTCTCCGACATGCAGGCTTTCAAGGTAT